AAGATTGCAGGTTAGTATCTTATCGAAGTAAAGCTTGTAATTATTACACCCGAGATATGTAACCCCGAGAAGATTGCATAAGCAAGGAAAGAAGTATGTAAATCAGAAAAGATTGCAGGTCAGAATCTTGCCGAAGTAAAGCTTGTAGTTATTACACCCGAGATATGTAACCTCGAGAAGATTGCACAAGGAAGGAAAGAAGTATGTAAATCATGCAAAATATTCTAAGTATAGAAACCACGCAGAAGCAATCAAAGAAAAGACAAAGATTCAAGCGTTAAGAAAAGGAAAGCTGACTTAACATTTACAAAATTGAGAGGCACGTCGGCCATGCAAAAACTTACATTGTTCAGAAAAAGATAAAGGAAAAAACAAAATCCAAGTAAGTAAAAGAAGAACATAAAGCTAAGGGTCTTCTCCTCCAGATTGTTGGATTTGGAGATCAGATACAACCTCGGCCTCCTTCTCTGCCGCTATTTCGGCGTCAATTTTCTGAAGAGTTTGTTCGACAGTCTTAACCTCAGAAGGGATGTCGGCTGGAACATGTCAGGAACAGCTTCCGGGATAACCTCATCACCTTCTTCATCTTGAGTCAAGTCAAGGACTTGCTCATTCTAAGGAGGGGACTTAGCCTCATCAGCATCCTTCGGTTTTCTGACCAAAGCCTCATCCTCTTCCTCATCGGCATCCTCAGACTCAGATTCAGATTCTCCTCCAGGTTGACTTGATGGAGGAGGAAGAGGGAACGGTAGAGGAATAGCATCGGCTTTGCGCAGTGGCGAGTCATCAGGAATGTTTAGTTTTTTGGCAAGGGTCATCCAACCAAGGGAGAAGCCCCTGTTGCATGCCTGCCTGACTTGAAGTTTATACTCTTCAGTAACGTCGGCCATACCCTGGGCATAGGCCTTTTCGTCGGCCGCCTTGATTTTGGCATCTTTAGTAGATAGAGCATCTTGAAGTTTCTTTTCCGCTTGGGCCTTTTTGTCCTCGGCCTCTTTCTTCTCGGCTTCGGTGACCTTCTTAATTGCCTCGGCAGACTCGGCCTTTTCTTTGGCTAGGGTTTGGGCTTTGGTGGCAGCCTCAGCCTGGTCTTCTAGTTTTTTCATTTTTAACTGAAGAGTTTTGCTCTCCTTTTTAAGAGCAGAAACCTCCCTCTTCATGTCGGCTAACCTCTCCCTTGTTTCAAAAGCTTGCATGGAGAGGGAGTGGGCATGTTGGATGGCCTGAAAGAACACAAGGCACAAATTGTTACAAAATTTTACAAATTAAGAGAGAAAACAGATTTCAACACAAAGGCACTTACTTGGACAGAGTGTTGCAGCATAAAGGCGTAGTTCTCATACTCACTCATCTTGGCATTTCGCTCAAGATCTCTTGAGAGGAGTAGAGCAGTACTTAGGGCCACGCCGACTTTTATGTCATCAGCACTGTCGGTGGCTAGAATTGGCTTATCTTCCAAAGTAATCTCTGGTCTCCAAGGGACTTTTGGTATTCTGGAACCCGAGACGATGACCTCGGCTTCTTTGATTGGGTGGATTCTGATGGCTGGGCCTCAGCAAACCTTTTTGCAGAAGTAGAAGCAGTTTTTTTACTCTCAGCCAATTGTGAGATGGGCAGAGCATCCTCAGCCTCAATCTCAGTGGCTTTGGCCTTGGGCTAAGCCTTTTTAACTCTCTTCGGCTTTGGTGAGGGCATAGTTTGCGTCGGTTGAGCGTCAACATCCGTGGGAAGGTCGGCTAGGAGATCTTGGGCAACAGGCTTCGGGCGACCCATCTCAGCAATTTTGGCAAGTCGTCGCCGACGTTTTCTTTCTGGTATTGGGATTAAGTATGGGGCTGAAGTTGATGGTTGGTCGGCTGGATTAGAGGTTGACCCTTGGTCAGCCCGAGATGTTGATGCTGTTTGTAGAGTGGTAGCAGAGGGAGGAGATAGGCTCTTCTTCTTTCTTTTTGGGACGTCGGGCAGTGTGGGTTTGTATGTCGGAATAAAGTTCAGAAGGAGAGGTGCTTTCCTTTTGTGGACAGGCAAGTCCAGGAGCTTTTTGAGATCCTTGCTAGGAACGTAAGATTGGCGAAAGTCTTTCGCTGTCTTGCGAACGTCTGCAAGAAGAAACAGACATTAAAAACATATAAAATATTGAAGACTTGAAAAGGAACAACTAAGTAAATAACACTAGGCTCTTACCCTTGCCCTCTTTAACCGTTCGAGGAAGAGGGTATAGATGGACATCTTCGTCTGAGGCAAATTCCCAATTTCCAGAGATAATGAAGTAGTCATCTCCAGCCCCCTTGTTGGAGTCTGGAAGGTCGGCTACGATTTTGAATTCAGTGGACCTCAGCTTGAGGTAGTAGACGTAACCTTTTTCCTTCAGGTTAAGGGGGCACATGGTGTAACAATATTGTATGTCGGCTAGAGTGATTCTAACATTTTCTTGTCTGGCTAAGGCGATAATACCAAAAATCACTCGATAAGAGTTTATGGCAAGTTGCATAGGGTTCAACCTATAATAACACAGAATCTCGTGAAAAAAAATGTTAAGTGGAAGCCGAAGTCCACACTCAGTAAAGGCTACAATAGGGAGAGGCATGGTGTTTTCGGTTGGCATGATAGAGTCATTATCTTCAGCCAGCCTCAGATGGACATCGGCAGGAATTGAGAACTCCCGCCTGAAGTACTCAAGTTTGGTCGGGGTATCTACCCTATGTCTCCACATACCCATAACGTCGGCCTAAAATCAGAGGGCTAGGTCTCAGAAAGAAGGTATTCTTAAAGGGTTATTGGAACCTCGGCAAAAACCTAGAAGAGTATTGGTACGACTTGTTTCAGTTTTCCCTAAATTAAAGGTTCTACAAACAAATCCCAAGCCTAAGAACTATGAAGATAAAGATCAAAGGCACAGATCTGGAAAGGAAAAACAGAAAACAAGAAACAAAGAATGACGTTTCAGAAACAAGAACAGAGGTATGGTTTTCAAAAGCATAAACAACAAGAAATACAGGCTCAAGAACAAAGGCAAAAAAGTATTGA